GTGAGGAACCTTGTGCACTTGCGACATCTGCACACCAAGTTAGACACACCATTAAATGAGGTGCTTCCAACAAAGTGTAAAGATTTTTCTAGCTGCCAAGGGCAATGACTTTAAAAATGTGGTCACATAAAGAGGATTTTAATTCTTGTACATAAAGCCTTGCTTTTGCCTTTCTGTTCTGGATAACCTTTCTGGCTAATCCTGACAATTAAAAGTAAGGAAAGAAGAGATGGTATTTGACCAGCACAGCTGTGTTTTCCACACACATCTGTGTTTTCCAGTCACACATCTGCCAGGGGTGCTTAACATACACCTACCACTCCTCCCCTGCAGAACGCATTCAACTCCCAGATTCCCAATCCCTTTGGTAACGAAGTCTCCAACACAGCTTGAGGCACCCTTCTGCATGAGCTCTACTTCCAGACTGTGCTTTTGAGGCAGAAAATTCAGAGATGGCCAAAGAGTTCCCTCGTTTTTAACAGAGAGGGCAGGGGAATGTGCCACACAGCACAGCAATATGGTTCTACCAAGGCAGCAAAGAGCGAGATACTGCCTTGGGACCTCTATGCTTGAGGGATTTAGGACATCAGACCCTGCCCTTCAAAGAACAGACACCAAGAGGTACCGGATCGAGCCGGCACATCTTGCTCTGAACAGGTATCAAGAGACATTAACCAGATCTGGATGGAGTCTTGATTTGCTGAAGAAAGAACCAGACTAAGAATCCTTTTTCACTGCAGTGCCACCCCTTCAGGTCAATAAAATGATTTTTTTCATTTTTTAAGATGAACCACCTGGTGAACACGTATTCAAGCTCACGTGGCGATTCTCTACAGAGCCATCAGCATTCAGGCTCTGTCTGAAAGGGGACGGCCCTCACCTCTGCAGTCCTTCCCCTTACCTTTCATTTTCAAAAATGGAGAAGAAAAAAAATCAGGGTCAGTGTGGCACCTACTCCCCTAAAGGGCTTTCTTTGTGCATTATAAATCAATCAGCACTGCTGATCCAGTATTTAGTTGGCCCAAACTCTCAACTACAGCAGAATACTTCATCCTTTTTCTATCACCTTATTGTACTGAAGACCGACAGCTTGTTTTTCCTAAGCAGTAAATTCTGTACGCTTGTTTTTTGTTTCAGGCCACCCATATGAGCTGCAGTGAGGCAGTGTGGAGCACAATAGCTTTTAGATCTGCACCTAGCAGCTGAAAGAGCAAACAGCCCTGACTCAGGGGGAAGATATCCAAACAACACTTCACTTTGTAACAACTAAAATACCATTCTTGCAGAGGTAATCACCCTATTACCCCGCATCGCCTCCAGCACTCTGCATTATCAGGGCTTGAAATAACATCAGGAAGAACAACAAAAATAGAGGCAAAATACTGACAGTTCAATAGATATTTCTCATATTACTTCGATGGCAGCTGGTAGAAAGCCAAAAGGAAAGAATGAAGGCTGCCTGAAGCAGTGCATTATACTAAGACAATCTGAAAAAAACCCTAACTACCAGGAGTCCTATTTCAGCTGTGCTGCAGAAGGGCTTGTTCACTCTTCAGCAGCTGTGTATGACGAATGGTAATAAAAGAGCAAAAACTGTACCAAAGGTTACGCATGACCAGCAGCGTAACACTTTGCCTGCATCCCGTCTCCAGACTCAGACAGCACAGACAGCAGCAAACTGAACTCAGCACTCTCGTACACCTGGCGTCGTCTTCAGTTCAAATGGGAAATCCAAAGCACAGGGGTTCAGCTACTTCTCTAAGGAGGTGTAAGATCCTGATGCTCCTTCATCAAGGTTGGGAGGGTGAGATAAGATTGACAGCCCTGAACATGAAATCATAAAGTTGGAAAAAAAAGCAGAATATCCATAATATAGATTTATATTAACTGCACACAGTGGATTCACACATCCATCAGAAGCAAGATGAGTAAAGCATGAGAGAAATACTGCTCTGTGCAGCGTAGTTTTATCCAGCTTGTTGTGTGGTGGGATGGAAGGATCAGCTCATCTACGGTTTCTATCTGAAGAGGAGGCGAGTACTTAGAAAACCCAGGAGGAAGGGAAGAAGACACGGCAGTTAAGAAGCAAGCTGCAGAACTTGCTCAGCACCCAGGATTTCTTTGTTTTAGAAGTGGACTGCTGAATCAGGGTACATTCAGGCCTAGCACACAGGGAGACCAAAGGTGTGCAAACGAACTTAACCAGCAGATGTTTTAAACCAAGCGAGCGGACAATCGACACACACGTTTGCTAGAAGGGCTCTTCTCTCCCAGCTGCCCCGTGCTCCTGATCCCCTGAGCAGGCACACCCAGAGGCACAGCAGCACCCTGGGGACAGGACACGGAGGAGTGAGGACCTCTTCCCCGGAGGCAGAGACCCACCAGAGGTCACCCCGGCCACCTCCTGGGCAGTGGGTCGCAGGGCTGGACAGGGCAACCGAGGTGGCTTGGCTCCCACTCGTGTTCCGTGCACAAACCAGGTAACGCACATGCAAACACCTGTATCACAGAAAAGCTCCCACTGCTCCTCTTCCTTAAGTATCAAAATTGAGAGATTACAACTCACAACCCTAACGACGGGCTTCTCTTGTCAGGCAGTGACAGACTGCTTCCTGCAGCCCCGGCGTGACCGGCAAGAGGCCAGGCGGGAGCGGGACATTCCAGTTGCAAGGCGTTCAAGAGATAAAACTGTTTTGCATGTTTGCAATCAGAAGTTGTACAAGCGTAAGCCTGGCTTTGTATAGATATAATTCTCAAATTGTAATCCAGAAGCCTTATGGTAGCCTACATAAAGTTTCATACTTACTGTAAAAATGCAAAGTCTCTTGAGAGGGGAAAAAAACAGCATAAGATGTTATTAAATAACTTGATGCAATTGTGTAACAGCATTGAGAAGCAGTGTCATTTGTAATCAGTGACTGTAAAAACTAGTTGAATGTTACAGCACTGAAGAGTCAAGGAAGTGGTTAATTCCAAAACAGAAAAGTTTGTTTTCTAAACATTAATATGCTAAAGTACCAAACAGCTGTTACGTTTATAAAAATAAAATGTCCTAGTCACTTGCATTTCACATTTAGTGGCTGTCAGTACAAAGGCAGCAGGGGTTTCATACTATGGTATGTTATGAGGCTAAGAAAACAATTCCTACACATTGCAACAAGTATGAAGTAGAGCAGCTTAAAAGAAAAAAAAAAAAGAAAAAAAAAGCAAGAAAAGAGTTAATCATTTTGGCTACTTAAAGCTGAGAAACATTGTTGAGTCCAGTTCTGACAATGTCAGTTAACTCAGAACACAGCCAAACTATGAAATGAAAGAAGTGCCTGGATATTAGAAGTATTATTATAGGTAGCAGTTACCTTACGTTTTAACCGAGTTTTCAAATAAGGCCTATCTATAATATGTGCACTCCAGAGATGAGAGAAATCCATCCTCAGTCACACAAGGCTGTTTTTTGAGGGTCTGGTTTTGGTGGGTTTTGGGGTTTTTTTTTGCAAGACTGGCAGAATACTCATTTAGCAGACATCTCTTCTTCCCCGCATACTCCAGTTTCTCCTCGCTCTGGGAAAGTCGTAGCAGCCACCGCCTCCCAGCAGAGCCGCCTGAGAACTGGACACTCCTCTGCCCTCACCCCAGACCTGAACACCAGCCTGGGGGCAGAAACCACACAGGCTTGTGACACTGCCAGAAGCTAACAGTAAAATGAGATCCCCAAGGAATCCGGGCACTGTCTTCCCTGGAGCTGGAACAGCAGCAGATCCTAAAGCAAATATTCACCTAACAAAAGCATGACTTGGCTAAGACTCACTACACTTGATAATTTTAAAGATGGAGTGCTTGTGAAGCATCTGTCGTATTTAAACGACAAAATCCTGACAACTTTACCCAGGCATCAGGTTCTTCAACCAAAAGTACTACCATGTCTATTTCCTTTCCCTGAAAACGCATTACTAGAAAAAGCAATTACTCCATCCCAGAAGAAAGAGCTTAAAAGAGCAGAGAACGATGAACACTAAACGAAAACCAAGTGCAAATTTTCCCTCACTAAAAAAACCAACTAATAATCCAATACTTCCATTAGCATGACTAATCCATAATGACTTCCATACTTCCATTAGTACGACTAATCAAACTAATCCTTTGGTTTCATCCATGTAAAACGCTTCCAGGAACAAAGCGGGGTGAGCTCAGCTCTGGGGAGCACGGGGCAGCACTGTGCATGCAGGCTGGCACCCACAGGAGACCCAACACCCGAACACTTGCCCGGCACGGCACACAAGCACCGTAACGCTGGTGGTGGTGGGGAACCCTCCTTACAGCCTAACTCCACCGGGGCAAAACTCCAACACGTGTTCACGTTTTGAAGTGCAAGAGGCACTATTGTGAGTGAATCAGGCCCACCAAGACCTCCAGCTCTCAAACCCTCAAGCCAAAGTCCCCTGCAACTTTAAGAGAGGCTCCAACCTCGAGCTGGACAGGCACACAGAGCTTTCTTTGTCCCAGTCCCTGCTGCTAACACACCATGCCACCAGCTCCCCACATCCCTCCCTCATCACAGCACAGCCTTCACCCACCCTGCCTGAGAACTCACCCATCCTGCCCGAGAACAGCTGCCAGCACGCTGGAGAAGTTCATCCCCTAACCAAGTTACGTGAAGAGCAGAACACTGGCGTCAGCATCGCCCGCCCCCACGCAAGCCAGCAGTTGTACTCCACAGCACCACTTTCAAGACCAATGGCCTCCAGGATCCTTTGGCGGCAGAAAAATCTAGAGCTCCTCAGTTAACACACAAAACTACGAAAGAACAGAAGATGACGTAATGCCATTTGTGTCAGCACGATGCGATTTTATTCGTGCAGTGCAAAGCACAACAAAACATAGAATCAAAGTTATGCCCATTTAATCACAACTGGCAGAGTCTCCATCTTCAATGGATGGTGCAGTTCAGGATGAAAACAAAAGTTACCTACAGCTGTGAAGTCACTGTGACTTCTGGCAGGGCAAGACAGCAGGTGACAAAGATTTGGCTTATTTGGACCAACACTGAATTTTCCTTTGTTAACTGAGGTTTCCCTGGTGTAATTTAAAGGACCTTTTAAATCAAGATTTCCAGTGGAAACTCCTTTAATGCACTAAGTAAATCCAAAGTGAAGTGACATCATTACAGCCATGCCTTGGTGTAAAGCAGCAGGGCTTGGCAGCGGCTGATTCACACGCACAGCAATGCATTTCAGAAAGCGTCGATGGTCTCTAGAGCGCTTTTACTCCAATGCGTGCCAGAGCTCTGCTGTGCGTTACACACCCATCACCTGGCTCTGCCATGTGAGTAACAAAGCACACCCCTGTGGAGCTTCTCAAGCTTGAAACAAAAAGGGTTTGGGCCTTGAACAGAATAAATTTCTATTCTGAAAGTGAACTAAGCGATTTCCTTCTGCATGCTCTGTCTGGTTAACCCACAATTTCTGCAACAATGAAACACGTGCCTCAAATGGGTTTAAAAAAAAATTAGTTCCCTATCTCTCAAGTCAGCAAGATTAACTGTATCTTGTGTTGTGTCACAAGATGTTTCTAAAGATATCTGCCCTATGTAGGGCAGCTCTTATTAATACAAACAGGTTACAACACAAATGTAACTTTTTTTTAAGGACTGCAATAAACAGTATCTATTAAGAACAAACGTGGCTGCAGATAAAAGTCAAATGTCAGCAACAAGTTGAACAATTTGGAAAAAAAAAGCTTTAAACCCATAGCAAAAACACTAGGAGGGAAGGAAAAAAGAATAACAGAATCCACAGTGTAACTTGCCAAACTTTTTATCTAGATGCTACTAATGTATCATTTGTGTATATAACTCACATATAGTGAATAATAGTCTGAAACCCACCTGACTGTGTAACAGCTTTCAAGCCTTACATCTTTTGATGAGGCTTTTCTGCTTATCACACAAGTAACATCACTTGTGCCAGCCTTGTCCCCATCACTACTGAGTTCTGCCCCAGCAGCAGAGGCTGCTCGGCTCCTGCAGTACGGCCAGCCCGGTGTTCCGTGGCAGCTGGAAAAATGGGGTCATAAAACCTCCATCCCACTCAGCCTTCCTAACCAAGGCTGCCCTGGAGTTTAACATGTGCATGTGTGTGTGCGCAGAAAAAAATACCAAACTCAAATCTACATAACCATCGGCTTGCATGAAGAGGAAAATTTTCCTAGCTCCTAAGCAGCTGAAGATATTCAGAATAGCACATGATTGGATTTAACACAAAAACAATAATAACAAAATAAGTCCATCCTCTGCCCACACTGTCTTTTTAAAACTTGTTTTTATTTTTAACAGAGAGGATGGAATTGCCTCATCTCTGCTTACCCAGCCTGGAAGACAAGAGACTCGTGTGTCTCTTCCTTTCCAGCAAGATCATCTTCAGTCAGCAGAAAACCACCCAGTTCAAAAGCTATTCTGAAACAACGCCATAAAGTTCTCGCCTCACTCCACATCCGAGTACCCGTAGGTGATTCAGCACAGCAGACGACAGCAAACCACGTGAGGTCAATTCTTAGCACGCTGCCTGCCTGCATCACACAAGGAAGTGCGTGCTTTCAGATCGCCGGCAAGAGCAGGACCCGATCTTTTTTGTCCCAAGAATTTCTGGATTAAGATATCCACGGTATTACCCACGCTACAATTGTGTATGCCTTGAAGGGTATGAAAAAGGCAGATACACACAGCCTGTAATTACACATAAGGGTTTAGGCTAGGTGAAATGATGCAGAAGGTTCAAACTGTTCCCTACTTTTTAAAAGAAAATATGAATTTACATAACAGTACACAGGGGGTCACAACAACACAATGAACAGGTCTGCAGACCAGATTCAGCCCATTGGATCACCGATCACTTTTGTATTTCCAAAGACCTGATGTGAACGTGTTCTAGAGCGATGCCTCTATTAGCAGAATGTTTATTTTGTGATCTCAGCTCAAAGGTCAACATTCCAATCCAAGAGTCAGGAAAGGTCTCAATGGGAACACGTCTGTGACTCATTATTCCCTATGTTACTCACTGTATTGCTTCTGGAGTTTAGAAATAAGAACACTTATGGAGTTTCACAAAACTTAATAAAACCTAAGCACTGTGAATTATAGGCATCACTCAAAGTGTACCTGGAGAAATAATGTATTGAAGGGTGACAGCAAAACGAGATGGTGTACAGCACTTATTTTATTGCACTCATTTTCGTACCTACTATCAGTTATTTCCACAGTACTTTATTTACACAGAATCCAGATTCCGCTACTTTAATCATTCACTACTACTTAAATAGTATTATCAGAGAATTGGCTGGTTTATCAGTTAAACTAGTAACCAGAATAACAGAAACATGAGCTGTTATCAATATTATCTTTGAGATTAAAGCCAGTTGCAAACAAATTACACTACAGGTTAGCTGTCATTACTGATTCTCTTGTCTACATCTGTCCCCATTACTATGCAGCACTTCTCATGCCAGGTACTTCTGCAATCCTCCCAACACCTCCGCCTCTTCAGCTGAGAGTAGGCAAGACTAATTAGGACAAGTGAGCTGGTACGAGTCACAGTGGGAGGACACTGCTCCTCCTTAGCCCCAACATGGAGCCAATAACTTCTAAACAGATGTCAGGAGTTACCACTTCCCAGCTTTGGCAAAAACTCATAGCATCGATCATATATCACTGTTTGAATCTGCTGTTGTGTTTTCGGGCACTTTTTAAAATATCATTAGCAATATACAACAGTATGTAACACCTCACACAGTTTATAGAAAAGTTACTTTTACTATAAAGTACGGAAGCTGAACACCTGTAGGTAGCTTATACAGTGTCCTAAAGAATGACACAATTTCTTCTTCTTTCAGGTACCAAGGCAATTCAGAAAGAACCACGTGCGCATTTACACACACCCAGCACGGGAAGTTCATATTGCATTCACCTGACATCACAAGCACAGCAGACTGCTGAAATGCTCACTTACTAATCCTTCTCTCTCTCTACCCATATTAGTTTACCAAAAAGTTACAAGAGGTGTGCACTGCAGAGCTGACTCTTCTGACTTCCAGATTCAATCCTCTTTCCTTTTCCCACATCCCTTCCCATGCGTACACAACCACGCAGCTCCCAGTAACATTTGCTGCCCTGATGATGCCCACGGACAATCACCTGCTCCAGCTCAGCCTGCTCCTCTGCCCTCTCTTCTGCCTGTTCTCAAGAAAATTTCTGTGCAACGGTATTTCAATACTACTCTAATAATGGAAAGTTCATGCAAACACTGACACTTTCTCTTCTGAGTGTTAAACATTCAAGTCCCAAGAAGGTTTAGGCTTTGAATGTTGTGGAGTCCCTTTGTGGAGTCAGCTTATTCCAAGACAAGTTTTTCCTTTAACTAATGCCATTCGATTTCCGATTCTACTGATAAAGCTGTACAGCATTAAACTAGAATCCTTTGCTGGTTCTTCCCTTCCTTCGCTGAAAAGGTGAAGTCACCAACTCTCGCTGCATCTAGACCAGTTAGCTCTGCACTGCCAACACCCAGCCAACTTAAACACCTCTACACACTCAAGGCAGAGATAGGAGACACATTTATTGCCACAAGAAAGCTTAAACTTTTCTTATATTGCTGGAAATAAATTCACCACTCAGGATAAAAGCCAAACTTCTCATACTGACATGAAAGCATAATACTCTAAAATACTCAGGTTCAGTTATCAGTCCCCAGAAGTGAGGCCATTTTGATGCCTGAAACACCTTTTATAAGTTTTCTCTCATGCTTTCTGAAAAGTTCTTGTAAATGTTTTTGTTAATCAATGTATTTTGTTTCCAACTCCAACAGTCTTGACAGCTATTTTCCCTCTCAATAGTCCTTACACCTGCAATGACTACATAAGAACACCAAACTTAAACAGGTATGTTAAAAACCTTCACCTCTGAAATACTGAGAAGTCACTGAAATGAGCGACTGAAAGTAGTACTAATTTTTGCAGTTTCAGAGGTGTGACAACCGCACATGCGGAAATGTTCCTTTCTACTAGTAATTCAAACCTAAAAGGTCACACATTCTTTTGCAGCATTACAACACTCTTGCCTCGTTCACAGCAGCGAATGGTTCCTACTTACATATTCCAACAATAACAGAGGGCATGTGTTCCAGTCGCAAGTAGAAGAGAAGATTGTAAAAATTGAAACAGATCAGGGAGAAGCACAAGATGACAGAAATCCATTCTTGCAGCCTCTTTCCTGTTGGAAAAACGGGAAAAAAAGCATGTTTTACTTTTATTTGAGAGGACATTCTGAAGTCTAAAACGACACAGACAGACGACCCTACTGGCTGGATGACTCACTCCATTTGTCTGACAGGCAACTGAAACAGAAACTTATTTATCCATGAGAGATGTGAGTACTGTGTTAAATGACATTCCTCTTCCCCAAGCCACTACTAACCCCTTCCCTCTGCCCTTGCCCAAATACCAGTGACAGATCAGATATTATCTCACATTGTCCCAGATTCCTTTTCCCTGCTGTTGCTGGCATAACTTCTCTCTGCATCACCTTTTTATACAGATTTGCATTTCATTTGATATTCAGTATTCCTGGTACGGCTGAATCTGGGAACAATTTTCTGGTCTCAGATGCTCTGTAATTAAGTCACCTTATGATCTGTAATATTTAAAAACTCAGAGCATGTAAATAAAGCTGTTGTACTAACAGGAAAAAGCATCAACCTGTATTTTGGTGGCCCTAGAACTGCTTTCCTAAAATTGCAAGTGCACTACTTAAGCTTGCTTACTTAGCTTCTGCAGTCTTGTCTTTGCCCTCCTGCTGCCAGGCAGAAGGCTATGACCTCTCAGACATTCTGAGACGACACGAGACAGAACAAGCAAAGGGAAAGAAATGGCATAAATTCTCTATTGTACCTTGCTGTACTACTCTGTGCCTCTACAAAAGCCGTATTTATTGCCTATAAAAAGAGAACAGACACATCAGAGCACAGTAACGCTTCAACTTTTCAGATTAGCAGCAGAAAGCTTCTGCCTGTCAGTCACTGCTAGATCCTCACAAGGCACTGATGCCGAGAGCAAGGGAACACTCAGTGCGAGATCTGCGTGGATTAAGGCATCAGAAACAGACCTTTAATCCAAGAAGACCTGAGCTGCCACCGTGGCTCAGCAGGGCCCTGGCTATCGTTAGAGCTTCACATGCTCAGGAGTGGACAAGTCAGCCCTCACCTATTCCAGGGGGCCAGTCAGCACAGCTGCCTCCTGCCCGGAGCCAACCCCACCGTCCATTCCTTCCTCCCTCCCTCCCGCAGCCTTACTCGCTCTGCACTGCTCAAGTTTGAGACAAAGCAACACGCAGGGCAACAATCTGTTAGGACAACAGGCGAGGAGAACACCCCTTTCCAGGGGCAGAGGTGTACTAACGTGCCGGGCATGCGCTCAGCACTGGAGCTTCTTTCCTACTACTCCACTACACTGACCTACTGCTGGATCAAATTTCTGCTCCTAAATGCTAAATCAAGTCCTTCTTCTCAACTATACTGTGCACTGAAAGCTAAACTGGGAGCATCAAGGAGGATCAGTATTATCTCCAACGTTCCTACCCTGTAGTATCTTAAAGTGCGAACAAAGACTTTTACAGTTCAAGAGTTTTGTTCTAGAAAGGTCATGAATATACAAATGAAATTCTTTTCAGTAGCAGAAAAAGAAGCATAAAATTAAATTAAGACACAAGAACAAGCATATTTCACGACAGCATCGGGTCACAATGTGGGAAATTCTATAAAGAGATCCCTGGAGTCAAGAAAGTAAGAGTTAATTAACACTCACTTCCTGCATAAGAAAGCCACACCCTGATTAGAGGAGCTAAGTGGGTACATCCTCACGGAACAATTAGCTGACTGGGGGAAACACTTGGCTCCTTACTAGCAAGTCCCATGAGCCCAGCCTGTGCAAACACCACCGCACTCCGAACACAGGGATCCCAAGACGGCTGCCTGGAGGTATCTGAGCTCCAAAATGCAGCTCCAGCTCTGGGCAGACTGGGAAGGTGAATCAGTTGAAGGAGCAGCAATAACCTGTGTTCAAAGAGCACTCAAATTTAGAAGCGTGTCCTGCATGAAGAAATCAGGTGCTGAAGCCACAAAGTATATGCTTAAAGAAATCCTGGGAATACTCCGGAGTCATATTCACTCTGCACAATTATATGTAATCCCCTTTCTTAAGAACTCCATAGTTCAACATCATGTGCTTCCATCGTAACATATATTCTGACATTGTTTATGTAAGTTATTTATGTAATGCCAAAAAAAAAACCTGCACATCTAACATATTATCACAGCTCACTGATAACAGATATCACTAGGCATACACTACTTCATGGACTTCCTAGAAACTTCTGTCTACAGCTGAAGACAAGAGCAGCAAGTTGTTTGGTGATGAAAAGTTTTTCCTTACAAGGAAAAAACCAATGCAATAGTACACTTAGTGATTGCTTTTCTGTAAAGGACGGGAATCTGTCACTGTCTGCAGCAGAACTGTACATCTAGACCAGCTGAGCAATGTCACCACCTTCTCTTGCTGCAAGGAAGGACCAATACAAGCTGAAATGGGCAGACTTGCCCTGAACAGTGTAGAAAACTGTCAAACTAACAAATACCTTCATTTCTTATTGTTACCTGGTTCTGTACAAGTAAGAGCACCTGCTTTTCCAGTAATTGCCTTGAATGTGCAAGCTAAGCTGTTCAGCTGACCTGCTGGAAACTGAAAGGTGCTGAAGATCTATCTTCCCTTTCCTCAGCCTTCACCCATGAAGGAAGTCACTAGGAACAGCAAGAATCCCCAACACTGCTCACACTGTGAGCTAAAACCAAATTGCATGGGTTATTATAAGGAGTTTGCCGTTATTTCCACAGTGTAACTGAATAGCTGCTGTCACTTCGTGGAGCTCTGACAAACAGCAACTTCAGGGCGACAAACCCAAACAAAAAGGCAAACACCCCTCAGCCCTTTCTGAGGAGCTGGGGCTGGATCTCCGCAGCTCACCGCATAAACACTCGGAAGCGAAACTTTCTGCTGTCACCTTCCTTAGCAACCGAATTCGTACGTCTGCTGTTGGACAGAAAGGCTGGCTTTGCTTTCAAAGGCAAGAACGCCCATCCCGGGCAGTTTCGAGTCCGCGAACCCGCGTCCCAGCAGCCCGGCCCGGTC